AGTGGTGTATTGATGAGTGGTGTATTGATGAGTGGTGTATGATGAGTTGTGTATTGATGGTTGGATAAACAGATCTTGAATGTCCGTAACACGGAAGTTTCGTACACTAAACTTCCTTTGACAATCAGCTGCAACACAAAGCAGCAACAACCAGCATCAGGTACTTGCTTGTTTCATCTTTGTACATCATGTTTGTGTCTTGATACATTTTGCATCCAATGAAGGTGGACAATTGAAAGGAGATTGTGAGCGTAGCAGGCGTAGCACACGCACATGGACTCTCGCAAGCTTCCGTGCACGACAACGGATTAAAGTGGACGCTGGTCACGCTTTGGAAACGCAAACACACCATCCAAGATCACCCCTATGAGGCTAAACGCGTCGGAAAAAAGGAAGAAGAAGAGCATGCGTACACCTGGCACCTCTTCAAACACAAACACCTGACCGTGCCAACAGGCAGCTGCCCCACATATCCTGACACTGCGACCACCTTGCTTTGCAAGAAAAACTTGGGTAACCCTGCTACCTTTCATGAGATGAACAATTCCCTTGGGATCTAGTGCAAGAGAAGTGTGAAATGCAGATTGAAGGGAAATCGCAGAATCGAAAAGCACCGTGGCCTCTGCTGAGTAATCACTGCAAAGACGCAAGCGTAGGCTTGGCGTTTCAGCTGTGCTGGTGTTGGGATTGAATCTTGGCAAAATATCCTGACGGGACATTTAGCCGTGTAGGCACGATACCAACAAACGACAACCAGGTGTTTAACGCTTCGCCTCTGGATGTTGCAGCGGATGCAAGGTGATTATTACCTTGCAAGATGTACAGTTTGCATTGCTTAAGGATTACAGGTTGCATCACAAAGCAACGACTTTAAATCAAAGTTGCGTTTGCCAACACTGCAAGTCCCACCACCAGGACGAACTTACCAATGGTTGATCGCCAGCAAGCCACACAAAAGCCTGCATACGGCTTCGGATGAGCATGCTCATGCACTCACTACAAGCGCTTCCTACAAAGCAGCTTCCTGCAATGGCTCTATGCGTGCAAGTTCCTGCCTACAAGTCCTGCAAAAAAAGAACAGGGGCTGCAAACAGACCATCCAGCGGCCAGCACGGGCCAAGGGTCAGCAGGAACACCTTTTGCCTCAATAGGCATGACTATCTACCAAATTCCCTCAGACTAGGCCGGGGTACGTAAATTGATATCCAGAACAGCACCAGGCTGGAGATGAATAGCGGCAATTTCCTGCACGGCCAAATGTACTTGTTCAAGAGAAGACCGTGGCCAAAGAGGGGAGCCAAATGAATGCAGGCTTCTAATACTCTGGACTCTCAATCGAATCCAAGCACTGTGGCTGCCTCGAAATCAAAAGAACTCCTAACCCAAGGTGAAGCGTCTGCATGCCCAGATTTGGACTTGGCGCAAAGCCACAAAGGAATCAACAGTGTAAGAAAAAAGCACGCAAAAATGTGTACACTGTATACTGTATACTACATTGCAATCGAAACTCATTCCAAAACTCCTCCAAGGAGCAACCTTGCCATCCGGCTTATGACAAGAACAAACAGCAAAAGGCCCAAGGCTGCATGGAGCCATTTCATGGCTGAAAATAACATGAGCATCATGCTTCACTACAGGAACAAAAACAAATCCTGAAAGTAGCATGTCACCTCATGAACGAAAGACCCATGAAAGGCAAATCCTTTCTTGTGATGTGTTTGGTCGTCCCTACAGATGCTTTTTAAAGACAAGCTTCTGCTGCACTATAGGTGAATCGCGTTTCTACTCTGCCTGTGCCATTTTATGGGGAAGACTGAAGACTGCGTCAAACAGGTATTCGGCTCTCTGTTCTGATGTGCTGCTTTGAACCAGCCAACAGGGAGCCATCCGTCCTGCAGTATATATTTTTTAAATATGATGTATATATATATAGGCCTGTCTGGTCTGAAGAACGAAGGATATTGACTGCAATTAAGGCAAAGGAAGAATGACAGGCTCCTGAAGTCAGATAGCATCAAGGATTGAAAACGAAGCCGTCCCTTCAAGTTATATTGGCATGTAGGCCAGTCAGAATAAGCTGAGCACATTCTTTTCCCCCACGCGAAGGAAACCAAGAAGGGCCTGCAAGGCCTCAAACTGCAGGCCCCGGTCTTTGAGCCCCGACATGCAAATAGCAAGTCTATTCACAAAGCTCCTACATTCTCTACATAATTGTCCGAATTTTGGACACTTGTGCAGGTGCTGCTTCTCTCTCGCACGCGCATTCGCTCTCTGCTGCTTGTTCGAGAGGATCCTTGTCTCAGATTCCTTCACTTCTCTTTCTTCTTTTCAGTGGCCTCCAGCGCGACTGAGGCAATTAATTAAGATCCAATGAAGATCCGCTACCCACATGATCCCAATATCAAATATCTTGCAAGCGCCTCCTGAGAGGAACACGTTTGTATCAATGTACGCACGCACTACTAAACTGCTTTTGGACAGCAACATCTAGATGCACTGCGAGTGGTCACTGAGGCGAAAGCCTCCCGTGCAGCCTCATTAGGCCCAAACACGGTAGCTATGTACAAGTATGTCGGCCCAGCGCAGGTAGCCAGCGAAAAGGAACAGTTTCTGCACACAAACGTTACAAATTGAAGCGGCGGCCAAAGACCACTTTAGCCCAGCTCACCGCGATCTTTCAAGGCTAATCTGGAATGTCATCATATTGAGGAGTACGGTAATACTGACCTGACGTCCATTGTGACGTCAGTCACACACAGTTACACAAGTATATAGTGGGCTATGTAAGACTTTTTTGGCCAAGATCTAGGCCAAACTGCTTCACATAGGCATGACCTGCAAGGATGAAAAACTAAAATCACGCATTACTGCCCAAACCTGCAAGTAACCAGGTGTAACAAACAATTTGGCTCTCCTTCAGCATTGTAGTGCAACATGCCAGGCTGAGACCTGAAACATCGTTTCGCCCACATAGAGCCACCGGATGAATTCTATCTACTTCGCCCATACACCTTCCACCTGCGAGGAAGACCGCGCTGAGTAGAAGCCAGATCCTGAGCTGAGGTGTTACAGTAAGTGAGCTGAGCCACCAGCTGTCAAAGCTCTGCCAAAATCTGGGCGTCGGACGGCCAGCAGCCCATACAATTTCGAGCAAAACGATGAAGAGATCGGTGCACAAGGCCACCATATCTCCAAGCCTTTGGGAAAGGACCATCAAGTCCTCTCAAGCCGCAAATCAGAATGAGGGGTGAACCCTGGCTTCCCAAAGAAGATCGTACCTGGCAAAGAGCACTTGAGAAAGCTCAAAACACAAACACTTTCCGTCACGCTTCAAGCCATGACAGGGCGACACTGGTTTTGACGGCTTTGCTTTATTGACCTGCTGCCTCAATGGGACAAGCAAACAATACCATCAGTGAAGATGTTTTTTTGCATATTCACCGTCATTTCAGCTTGGAAAATGTCAATGAAGTTCCTGCTGATGAAGTCGTCAAGCTAAGGCACGTGTAAGCCCCAGGAAAGCCATGCCTGCAATCCCGGTTCGAAATTAATTCCATGTTCATTTGTGTCTTTCAATCGGTTTCCTCGGTATTGACTCAAGAACTTTTCAAGCAAATGAGATCAAGTGTCTAAATCTCTTGTGGCAAGCCCTGCTGCCCCAGCAAGCCAACTTACCGTCAAAAACGGATTTTGCACCTGCAATGGAAGGAGCCTTGAAAGGAACCAGAATATGAGGAGTTTGCTGCCTGTCCCGAGCAACGGCCACTGACGCAGAAAGAGCACCTTTTCTGCTTCTGCCTAAGCTGTGTCCCGACCTTGTGTGGTCCTGGCTCTCTATCAATCAATGCCTTCCACAGCTTGGATGAGAATGCTTAGTATCCTCTGCTTTCAATATTCGCGTAATTTTTTTTTATGCTTCTGAGCACAACAATCACAAGTGGTCCTTGTAAGCTGCCTGCAGCTGCTGAAATGCTGCATTTGAGTCATGTTGGTTGCCTGTCAGGCACGGCAAGTAAGTTCAGGTAAACATAACTATACTATAAAATGCCGAGTCTGACACTGGTATCTGGATGAAATTGCTTTGCCTTGCGTCAAAATCTTTAGTATGGGGATAGTGGAAGTGGCACTCTCTTGCGCCTTCTTCAGGTAAGCTTGTCTGATTTCATGGCTTTTTGCTCCCCGGGGAACACCTGAGGTAGAAAAAGTGGAGTCTGGCATAATGCCAACTATATTCATCATGACAGTCATATCAAAATGGCAATCCTGGGAATCTAGCCCAGAATATCGTGTGGATCCGTCGTGGTGACGGTGCTACACAACTCAGCTCTCAAGCTGGGCTCAGCCTAGACTGACAGGCACGTTGCAACTCAAGACTCAACAAGTTGCTCTGAAGAAGATCTCGCGTTGAAAGAGAGGTCAAGAAACAAAGCTCGGGGAGGCTTTCATATACATGTGTATACATACAGAATATTATGTGTATAAATAGATAGTTTTGGTTTTGAGTTTGAGGCGCTCGCTGGAGGTCCGTCGAATGCGTGGGCACAGAGAGCATGTGTCTCCGGCTGACATGAAAGTCAGTCATGCACCGTAGTGCGCTGAAGGTCTTTTCAACCTGCAAATAAAAAGTTAAAAACACATCCTGCTCCAAAACCGCTATGGTGAGAGCAGAAGAAGGTTCATGTGCGGCTTATCAGCCAAGCTCATCGATTCTGCCTTTTCGCGGTGCCGTCATTCCAAGGTGCTCAATCTCCATTCGGAGAGGGCTCTCATGGAAACACCTGGTGTCTTATGAAGGGCAGCCAGTTCACAATCCAATCTCAAACATTGAAAAAGACTGGGAGAACATGGCAGTAGATCCATCCCGGTTCAGACATCGTGGACCCCAAGGACGACAAACGAAAAAAAAGGAAACCAACCACAACCACAGGGAACAAGGTCCACGGAGAACTCAGGCTGGTTGTCAGTCACTTGCTGGTCGAGTTGACCAGATCCTGAAGTTCGTTTCGCTCTTCCGGCAAAGTTCTACCCAAAGCAAAGTATGAGCTCTGGTGTGTTTGCCTTTTGTGCACTTCAAGGCCGATTCTGGCATTCAGCTCTACCATAAGGTCGATGTGAGAGCACTTGGCACGCATTGCAGCCATGACATGGGAGACTGGCTTCTGTACGATGACTCTGCAAGAAATGATCAATCTGCAGAGTCTGAATGAGTTCAGGGTGCCTGAGTTCTTCAGGGCTTCGTGGGACACAACAAGCCTCCCACATGCACAGCAGAAAGCTCTCAGCCTGGACAATACGTCCTCAGGATAGCATTCAAATTTCAGGTTGTGTTGCTTGTCTTCGGACGCTAGCCAGACAAAGATCCACTGTGAGGTCATCGGTGGATGCGAACCCATGACCTTGGCCTCTTTCAAGTCATCAAACAGCATCCAGCCTTGCGTAGAGAGACCTGTGGCCTGAAGGTGTCCCGCCCCATCTAGTCCGTGATGAGCTCCCAGTCCTTCTTTTGTGGCTGACCTGAGTGATCCAAGGCATATCGATCCAAATGAAGACATGCAAGTTGACAAATAGTGTGTCCAAGGGTTGCAGGTCAGTCTTTTCCGTGTGATCTGGAGCGCTGAGAGTCGGTGGATGATGTGGTGCCCCCGATCCCTGATTTGGATCAGTTCCCCTTCCATCACAATCCTCCTCCATGAACTGTTCACGCAGGGAGGTTTGATCCAGGCTACAAATTGGCTCAAGAATTCATGAAGGTCCTGTTGTCCTTCACCCCAAGGACGGAGGAACTCACTGAAGGCTGGCATGTCCTTCAGACTAACCCAAATGCTCTCGAGACTGAAGAGCTCAGCAAATCTTTCAGCACCCTCCCCCAGATCATTCCAGGTCGGTGCATCCAGTTGGAGAAGCGCCCAAAACATGGCTACCAGCGCAGCATTCTGGTAGCAGTCATTCCCTTGGTTGCTGAGGCGGACCTCCGAAAGCCATATCATTGTTGTCTCCTTCTCGATGGGCCAAAGGATCCCTTCGCCAAATTGGAGGCGAGTGGGTTCTCCCTCACTGTATGTGGTCTGAGGCGTCCCAGGAGAAGGCTCCACACTGACTGCAGAATCTCGTAGAGCCTCTGACGGCGCAGGCTGATTTGCAGCATCCATGGTAGGACCTTCAGCTGATTGGCATCTCGATCTGTCGTTTTCAATGTGCTTGGTCTTGGATCCGTTCGACCAGTTCCTCCAGCAGGCTTTGCATGCTGGTCATCGAGATAGGGGTCTTGCTCATGACCTGAGTCTGACGATCCTTCTCATTCCAGCTCAGGTAGGTCCAGCAACCACTTTCGGTAATAGGCTGGCGACGTAAAGCCTCTTGCCAAAAGACGGGTCTCTTCTCCGGCCGATCTGAGGCCCATTGCATTGACCTGCGGCCTTGGAAAGGCCCTGTTGGGAACCTACACGCAGAAGGCTCGAGACCATATGTTGCCGACAACGCAGCAGTATCCTTTATTTGCGTACCTCCCTCACAAGGGGTCCAAGAGGCTTTGTATCTGGCACATCAGTTTTGTCATGAGATTAGTGAACACTGCCTTCACATTCGACCAGGCCCCTGGAAGCCTCATGGACACACACCTCACTGTGGTGCCATAGACAGAACGGGCAAGTGACGGAAAAAAAAGGGGTGAATCCGTCGGTTCGCCACCACGGATCGGACCAACCGAGCCACCACGGATCAGCCCAGTTACTTTTAGACGGAATGTATTCCCAATACATCCATGTTCGCAACATCCGTTTCTTGAATGAGGCAAACTTGAACTATGACGCTCACTCTGTGAGTTTCCTCATCAGTAACCAAACAAGCAAGTCGAATCACGTGCCCCATGAAGCATGAAGCAACCGAATCGAGCAAGTCAAAATCATAAATGAACCATGAAAACCCTTCATGGAGCAATAAGAGCGCTGGCCACATGGAATTAACGCTCCAAGAGAATCCCTGGAGCAACTGTGCAACATATGGGACCGCGAGCGTGGAGTACGATGCTCAGTCCATGACTCCCCGCGTGACCAACAGTGTCAAGGAAGTCGTTAACGGGATATGTGAACGCACGCTCCCTGAAACACCTCACGAAGCAACAGCGCCAAACAAGTTGAGCTGGAAAAGTGAACGTACGCTCCATGAAACTCCTCGTGAAGCAATAGCACCAACCAAGTTAAACCTGCTATACGAACGCAGCCCCAGGAGATTTCGCATGAGGCAGCAGAGCAACCCAAACTTGGTGTTGTAATGCACGCTTCATGAGACCCCTCATGAAGCAGCAGCACCCCAATCCAGCGGAACTTGAGCGGACGCA